CTTTGACAGACTTCCTAATTACTTAAGTAACTACCTAATTACCAAATCTAGGGGACCTTTGTTGTTAGTCTTACCTCTTACTGACTTCCCTGTGGCATTAATGACTACTTCTTATTTGATTCTTGCATCATTTTCCCTCCTTTCCATCCTTCTCTTCCAACTTTCTCTTTGCCTTTGTAGGAGACAGTGCAGCCTAGAAGCAGTGCAGAATCAGAGTCTGTGCTTAAGTCTCAGTTTGGCTGTTTCTTGCTCACTGGCCTTTTGTTGTTTACTTGAACTTTTCTAAGCCAGTGTGTTTCTTCATCTGTAAAGTAGAGCTTGACTGAAATGATCCGTATGCAGCTCTCAGCATAGTGCCCAGCTCACTGCCTCACTCAGCAGTATTTTCTGGTCTTATGATAGGATGTTTCGTATTAGCACAAGTAGTCAGAACAGAGCAGGGTAACACTGCATGGTTCAAAATTGGGAAGGGTGTACGCCAGGGATGCATCCTGTCTCCATACCTTTTCAACATGTATGCAGAGCAGATTATCCGAGAGGCTGGGCTCTGTGAGGAGAATTGTGGCATCAGGATTGGTGGAAGGTCTATTAACAATCTCCGTTATGCAGATGACACAACCTTGCTTGCTGAAACTGAGGAGGACCTCATGAACTTGCTGCGAAGGGTCAAGGACTGCAGCCTTCAGTATGGACTGAGGCTCAATGTCAAGAAGACAAAGATTCTCACCACTGGACCAATTGGCAGCGTCAGGATGGATGACAAAGAGATTGAGATTGTTCACAGCTTCAGTTTGCTCGGCTCTACAGTCAACACTCTTGGCACCAGCAGTCAGGAAATCAAAAAGCGTATCGCAATGGGAAAGTCTGCTGTTAGGGACCTCTCTAAAGTACTCAGGAGCAACAGTGTCTCTCTGGAGACTAAGGTGTGCCTGATACAGGCCATGGTATTTGCAATTGCCTGTTATGCATCAGAGAGTTGGACAATGACTAGGGAGGACAGAAGGAGAGTGGATGCTTTTGAGCTGTGATGCTGGAGAAGGGTACTGAATGTACCAGGGACTGCCAGGAAAACAAACAGATTTATCTTGGAGAGGATTAAACCAAGCTACTCCTTGGAGGCAAGGATTCTGGGGCTTCGTCTCACATACTTTGGACATGTTGCCAGGAGGGACGGGTCCTTGGAGAGGGACATCATGCTTGGGAGGGTTGAGGGACAACGCAGGAGGGGAAGACCCTCTATGAGATGGATTGATTCGGTGACTGGGGTAATCGGGATGGGTGTGTCAGAGGCGGTGCGGTTGGCGCAGGATAGAGCAGGGTTTAGGGCTGTTGTGCATAGGGTCTCTACGAGTCGGAAACGACTCGATGGCACATAACAACAACAATGATAGGATGACTTTTCCTTCTCATTCTTCTTCGACTCTTCTGTCTGCCTGTGAATATCACCTTCCCTGCTAGCCTCCCTGCATGCAGTTTGAGTTACTTATCTGGGTGTTGGCATATCATACACTTACTTCCCTTCTTGTCTTCTGTCTTAATTGTGATAAAATAGAAAATCCAATCAATCTGTCCCCTATCTAAAACTGAAATCATCCAGAATTGTTTCCTTTTTAAAGAAGTTTCTGCTTTGGATCTGGTTCTCCTCACTTTCCCCCCTATGTTAATAGTTTTAAGTAGGAAACCTTAGTGGGTAGAATTCTGTCCTCTTGTGCCTGAGACCCAAGTTAATCCCAGTCTGTTCAACCCATATACAAACACAACCCTTCTGTCAGTGGTGGTTGGTGTGTGTGTTGTGACGCTGTAGTTTTAGTGAAGCTCTAAGACAGAGACAGACTAGAAAGAAATGCCTGGTGATGAGCTACTTCAGAAAATCACCCTGTGGATCACAATAGTCAGATCCACACAGCTCTTGGGGAGAGCGTAAACTATCTCCCTGTCTCTGATCTAAGGTACTGTAATTTTTAGACAACACCCACTGCAATTACATCTGTGCACAAGGTTTTGGAATAATGTGCCCAGGCCTCCACTATTCATGCTTCATGACATTTCCAGAAATGAATTTAGGCTTCATTTAACAGTTAAACAATGCTAACTTTTTTTGTATTTGTCCAATAAAGCCTAATTAGCCTTGGGAAAAAGGTCATTGCTCAAGGGTGGTAGAACAATAGTGATTAGAAAGCAAACAATTGAAATTGCATTTGCTCTGGGTCAGTTTTTGGCCAGGCTGAGAATGTGGAAGTCCTTCCTTGTCATTCTGTGCTCAGGTATGTTGCTTGGACATGCCTGGTCCCACAGGACCAATCTAATGTGAAGCCAAGAGGCTGGATTGTACGCGTTTGTAAGTATGAACTGCTCTGCTCCTTCCATGAATGCTGATTGTGGATCCAAGTAATTCTTAGTGAGTTCAGTCTTCTGTCCATTTATCATGATGTCATGTATTGGTCTGGATGTGAGACTTTTTGTTTTTGCTTTTTTTATATGAGATGTGGTTTATATAGAGGGCTGGGCTTTTAGCTTTATCCACTTATTTGATTAGTATTATTTTAATATTGGCAAATGCAGTTTTGTGTGGTGGTGGTGGTTGTTATTATGTGTCGTCAAGTTGCTTGCGACTCATAGCGACCCTGTGTACAACAGTCCTAAACTCTGCTCTGTCCTGTGCCAATTGCACTGTCTCTGACACTCCCATACCAATTATCCTAGTCACTGGA